AAATAATCTTCCTATCACTTCATTAACTCGGTATCACTTCCAGCAAACATATTCTTTATAAGTTTACGTTTTAAATAAATATTTAAAACAGTAAACAGTTTACTTATTCCATTTAAGACAATAAGCAGGCCCGCCCCTCCCTACACGCAGATCACAAGGGGCCTCACATCGCGGAGGGGGCCTCACCTCACGGAGGGGCCCTCGTCTTGCAGAGGGGGCCTTACCCGAAGCGCAAATGCGGCACACCTTTATCCCATTAAGCATTACAATTCATATGCGGCGCAATTACTGTAAGCGTGCTCCACGAGCACCACCCCGGTGTTTTTTTTATGCTGAAACATTCAGACTGTTGGAAAAACCCAGAACACCTGGAGAAAACCCATTCATGAAGACTACATGGACTTAGGGGAAAAGGGGGAACAATGAGAACACATTAAATAAAATAAAAAAGTGGGTTAGGGGAGTAGGGGGAGGATTTAGATTGGTCGATGAGGTGCTCCTGCGCCCTCTTGATCATTTTTGTTTGCTTAGTGGCAAATCTGGGCAATGGTTCCCCTGTCACTGTCACGTGGGCCCGCAACGCAACCCGAGAGGAACAGATCTTTACTGCAGGAGTGTTTTTTGTTGTGATTGGTGGGAGGAAGCTACGCTGCAGATTCCCTTTACTGTTCTCCTGCTCGGTGTCCCGGCTTTTAGCAGTGTCCAATCTGGACAGCCGTTCTCCTGTTTCTTTCCCACGGTTCTTTGATGACTCCACCCCAGTTGGGGCAGAGTGTCGTCCTGCAGGAGCTCCCGGTGTTTTAATGGTTGGGAGGCGGGTTGGCCGCAGACCAGCAGTACTACTCTCTTTGACCTGAAATTTGTCTTTTTCCAGGTACTGCTTTATCTTCTCCTCCGAGGAAAGGGTGCGCTGCCATCCAGAATTTGCCTTCGTGAGCAATGGTTCCCCTGTAACTGTCATGTGGGCCCGCAACGCAACCCGAGAGGAACAGATCTTTACTGCAGGAGTGTTTTTTGTTGTGATTGGTGGGAGGAAGCTACGCTGCAGATTCCCTTTACTGTTCTCCTGCTCGGTGTCCCGGCTTTTAGCAGTGTCCAATCTGGGCAACCGTTCTCCTGTTTCTTTCCCACGGTTCTTTGATGACTCCACCCCAGTTGGGGCAGAGTGTCGTCCTGCAGGAGCTCCCGGTGTTTTAATGGTTGGGAGGCGGGTTGGCCGCAGATCAGCAGTACTGCTCTCTTTGACCTGAAATTTGTCTTTTTCCAGGTACTGCTTTATCTTCTCCTCCGAGGAAAGGGTGTGCTGCCATCCAGAATTTGCCTTCGTGAGCAATGGTTCCCCTGTAACTGTCATGTGGGCCCGCAATGCAACCCGAGAGGAACAGATCTTTACTGCAGGAGTGTTTTTTGTTGTGATTGGTGGGAGGAAGCTACGCTGCAGATTCCCTTTACTGTTCTCCTGCTCGGTGTCCCGGCTTTTAGCAGTGTCCAATCTGGGCAACCGTTCTCCTGTTTCTTTCCCACGGTTCTTTGATGACTCCACCCCAGTTGGGGCAGAGTGTCGTCCTGCAGGAGCTCCCGGTGTTTTAATGGTTGGGAGGCGGGTTGGCCGCAGATCAGCAGTACTGCTCTCTTTGACCTGAAATTTGTCTTTTTCCAGGTACTGCTTTATCTTCTCCTCCGAGGAAAGGGTGTGCTGCCATCCAGAATTTGCCTTCGTGGGCAACAGTTCACCTGCATCTTTTGAACCATCACCAGCTCTGGAAAGTGTTGGCAGAAAGTGCGGCCTCACATCCACCGTGGCTAGCTGCAGGCTGCCGCGTTCCCGATACCGTTTCATTAAGCACGCCCTGCTTAGGGGGGCAGTACCACGTTTGGGCAACCGCTCATCAGTTTCTCGACAGAAGTAATTGTAATCTGGCACCTCCTGTCCGGTCCGAGCTGCTGGAAGATCCTTGCCCTCCTGCTGCATGTATTGCTGGATTTGTTTCTCTCCCTCAGCAATCTGTTTCTCCATTTCTCTGGTAGCATGTATTTCCTCTCTTACCTCCTGTTGAAGAAGGGCTTTCTTTTTAGCAGCATCGGATAATAAAACCTCTTTATGCTTAATGTTCTTTTGTCTTTCTAAATACACTTCTAGTTTATTTTGCTCCTCAGACAACCTGTCACACTGTTTCATTTGATTTAACAAGTCCAGGCTGCTCGCTTTCTCCTCTCTCTCCTTCTGTTCATTTTCATGATGTTTTTCCACTCTGTGAGTGGCAATGCTCTTCAGAGCCGCAGCCCTCTTCCCCTTCGCGTCCTTCTGCCGTTTTATCACTTTAGCCTCTGCCTCGGCCACTTCCTTGGACAACTTCACCTTCTCTGTCTGGATTTTCTGAGCAGCCTGCTGTTTTATAGCATCTGCCAGTTTTTCTTTAACTATATCCTTAGGAATCTGCCTCTTCTTGAATTGTTCTGACTTCTCCTGTTTTCTCTGCTGCAGCACTTCCTCTATGTCAGTCTGAACACGTTTAGTTTCCTTATCCTTCATGTTCAGTTTTTCAATTTCCCTTTGTCTTAGCCAGTTTTTTCTATAGATTTCCTCTTTGTGAAGTTTTAGTTTTTTATCCTTTGTCTCCAGTTCTTTTCGTTGCTCATCTCTAAGCTTCTGTTGATGCTGTTCATCGAGGGCCCGGAGTTGGTCTCTTTCTTCCTTCTCCTGCTGTCTCTCCTCTTCTCTCAACAGCTTCTTCTGCTTGGTCTGCTTAATAAACTCGTCTTTCAGAGCCAGATTATCACGGCGTTTCTGACGAGTTTTGTCTTCCTCTTTTCTCTGAGCATCAATACATATCTGACGCATCTCTTGTTCCTTCTCCCTTCTCTGTTGGTCAGCCTTCCTCTCTTTCTCTCTCTTAGACGCAGCCATGGCTGCATTGTCATTTCTTATTTTTTCTTTTAAGAGGTCGCTATTGAACTTTCTGACATCTTCATTCTGGAAGAACCTCTTATCATTGGCTGCGTCAAGCGCTCGCTGCCCGTCCTTTCTCTTGAAATCCACCTCATCAGCCGTCTCAGACCTATAGTCCTCCTCTGCCTGTTTCCGCATCATTATTTGTTCCCGCCGCTTCAATATGCAGCCTTTGTAGATTGGATGGGCCATTTCAGTTTGTTCTGTGTTGTCGTGTTGTGTTGGGAAAATACTGCCTGAACAACCCGTGTTGTGTCTCAAATAACTGCGGAACTCAAGACTCCTATAAGAATTTGGTTCAGACAATTTCAAAGCCATTAATGACATCATCGCATCACGTGACCAGATGAATGCAGATAGTGACCTCTTCACATTCCGGGAGACATCACTTGACTTTGTCCGACTATGAAGTCATTCAAATAATTGCATTCCAAGTTGCCTAGTTACAGTTGCTAGGCAACTAACAGTATTTAATTGACACCTGATTCTAAACTAATGTATTCCAATTAAAAGTATCTTTATTAGAAGTAATAAATAGCATACATATTAGTTTTAAGTACAAGTTCCCTAATAATGTTAATTATAATCTGTAATTATAATACTATGAATTCTCAGGGGGGGGGGGGGGACAGTGCGAGCCGCAGATAGCTGCCTGCCCTCAGAGTATCCAGGCAGGAAGGAAGACAGGAGCTCACGGAGGACGAAGAAGAGAGGAAGAGACAGATGTGAGAATCACAAACCACATCCATCTTGTGTCAGACAACAACCAGATGATGAGGTCAAATGTAAGATAACCACAAGAGGGCTCCATATTCTTTATAAAACCTTTTCTAATTACTTTATTGCATGCATCTGTGCATTTTCTACCCATACCGTGCAGTTGATACAAATAAAACAAACGTATTTACACATCATAAAGATGGGGCCAATTTCAGCCTTACATCTCTTTGACACAAGGGGAATTTGTAAATAGCTTTCATCTAAAAATGATGAATTTCAATTGGTTTGTGAAGTGTTTCTGTGTCTTAGCACATACAGTACTTAAGTGGGTTGAAGTATTTTACCTTAATTCACCCTTCAGACAAAAGTTTGCATTTGTGTAGATCCTGAGTCTGCATTTGCTTTACATTGAGAGGATGAAACATTTACATTGATCAGTGGATGTGACCGACAAAGCCTGCAGGAGAAGTTTCTAGTTTAAATCCAAGGCACAAAAAAACACCGCCATGGGATCACTTTGATTTTTTTTATTTAAAACTGTGATTATATGAGAATTTAGGTTGGACAAATGCAGGGTTTGTTTGGTGAGAGCCCAAAACAATGACAAGAGAAAAAACAATATGCCAATTAATGGAATAACTTGATTGATCATGTATAAAATGTTCTTACTGACAAACGTTTTGCAGATAATAACACATTAAGCACAGGATAATTGTATAACTGTACATTTTACATTCAAACGAATAAAAAAGAGTTTAAAAGAATAAATCCCTGCTCTGTCCGTGTCATATTATGATATATTGCTGAATTATTATAGCTGATGCTTTGAGTTGGATCTATATTGTCACAGTGAACAAACAATGTATTTGTGAAATAGTGGAGTTAAAAATACAGAGTTTATCTGGATTAGAAGTATAAAACAGCATAAATACTGGAGCAAAGTGAATCTAACAAATGATTGACGTTTTCTTTTCAATATTCTGAGCTGCTGTCATGCTATATTAGTGGAAATCTTTTTACTTGGAATCCCATTCCCTTTGTTTACAGCCAATAACAGTCCATCATCTTGGAGATAAATGACTTTCCATTAGTCAAATGTTTGTGTCTATCTTCAACGAGCTCCTTATCAATTGGCTACTTATTTACAGATAACAGATTCAAATTCAAAATGCCCCTTGTAGCCCCACTTGTGAACTCCTTGTGGGTGGCACCAATCTGGGTGGCACCAATCTGTAAGAAGCCTGGTGATTGGATACTGGACACGTCACTCAAAATATAGTCTGCTCTCATTGGTCCTAAGCCAAAATAAGCACCCTAGAAGCCACGCCCCTTTCATGCAGCATAGCACCCGTCGGAAGTTGCTGTGTGAAGTGGAGTAAAAAACGGGATGTTGAGGTAGTTTTTAAACTCTTCGACATTTCTTTGGACATTTTTTATATTCTGTTGCAGACACAGAAGAACGGTAAGTCGTGGGTTTGAAAGGAATTACATATTGCTCACTTTAATGCAAGAAAAAAGGGGAGGTCCGAAGTTAGCTAGCTAGCGAGTTAGCATTTGTAATTATTAGCCATTACGTTTTAACTATCAATAAAAAACAACAACATTACAGTCTCTTACATCGTGACATTTTGTTAAGCTTATTCTATTAAGATGTCTGTTTTGCTAGTTATTGTCACCTCTCATTGGCTGATCTTGATTAGCATTTGCAGCAGCTGTGGGGAGTTCTCTCTAGTGATTGCAAAGTAAAAGCCAGCTGAAACCCCACCAAAGTATCTGTTCTTGTTGATGTCAGTGATAGGCGCTGTCTTGAGTGAAAATGGCCCCGATGCATGCTGTGATTTTGTTAGTGCTGTTTTGTTCTGCCTACTGTTATCGGTCCAGAGGAAGAGCTCGCAATGGCCCGCTTGTGCGAAACCCTGAACAAGAGTGGGAGAGAATCCAGAAAGTAATAAGTGACGAAATGAGTGAGGACCTCAAACCGAAATTCCTGAGGGCGGCAAGTAGTGCATCTACAACACTTGCACCAAGGCAAGTTCCTGTGTATCTGGTTGTATCTTCCTCCGATGACCATAAAAGTGCCTTCAAGCCAGAAAAGGGTGCCATACCCCTACCACCCTCGCTCAGACAAATGTTACTTCAGACTGCCACCACTACTATTGCATCCAGAACAACAGCCAGACCAAAGCTGATTGAAATCGTGTGCCATGTTGACAGAATGTATGTTAGAGTAAGGAAAGAGATCTTTAAGTACACAGATGCATGGAAATCTCTTAAACTAGGCACCTGTTCTGTTAACAAAAGTACCAAAGACCATTACTACTTCCTCTACCTTCTGACGGATAGCTGTGGATTCAAGACAGAGGTTGGTAAAGCAGTTTTATGTGTTTTGAAAACATTAAAGCTTTTATATTGACAAACCTCAACCAACACAAATCTTTGTCTGATCCAGAATAATGCAGATTTCCGGGTGATCAGCAATGTGGCCAACTACCAGCCAAACACAGTAGTTTTAAGAGAAATGCCATTTACCATTCCTGTGCAGTGTAAATATCCAAGGTAAGATATTTAATCATGATTTTTCTATATTGCTGACCTCAATACAGAAAATGGAAAACTTGTAAGACTGTGACAACTGCTATTCCCTACCTTGTCGTAATGTTCTCTTGTCTGTTGCAGATTCTTTCACTCCTATAAAGTTGGCTTCTACCCTGAAGTGAAGGGAGGCACTGTTTTAAAAGAACTCTCACCAAAGAGCAGCTTCACCCTTACTCCTCAAGATGGTATGTTTCGTTTAAACAGGAATGTTCTCCTTTTCTCACTTGGTGTTTCTCCAAGTCTCAATATAAACCTTGAACAGATCTGGGGAGAAACTTTAGATGTATTACAAGATCCTCCTAATGTTGCATGGTTTTTCAAACTGCTTAACATTTTAGAGCAGAATAAAATAATGTGGTGGTACACTTTAACCCAAATGCGCAAGTACATTAGTGTTCTAATTATAATGCACATTGTCTCAAACTAGCAGTGGGGTTTAACAAAAAATTGGTCAAAGCTTGTGAGATCAATTACTTTATTGGCAGCTTTTAGCTTCATTTGAGAACCTACACCTGTAATACCTAAATGGGGGAAAGAAACAACAATAAATTCAAAGCAGGACAAACTTGGTATTGCAACTTCTTTAATAAATTGTTTTATTACCAATTGTTATGCCAAGGTCTGATCTATTAAGACTTTTGCAGGTTCCCTTAAAAAATATGAGTGTATTCAATACATGCACTACAAGTGTTCTCTGGAATGTATCACTGCTAAAAAGCCAAAGCAGCAAGCATTTTCCTACTGTGTTACCAAACGGCAAATGTGTGACAGCCTTGCTTAATTTATATGAATCTAAAACGTTAGTTTGCCGACATCATTCTTTTCCACAGCATCTGGCAATGACATCGCTGTCACCAAATATTTACTGCACATTGGTCAGCAAATGTACTTTGAGGCCAAGCAACCTGAGGAGGCTGCTGCACGCACTGGAGCGATGAGGATGTACAGCTTTGAGAACACTTTCATGATCAATCATTATAAAACATATCATATATATTATTCTGAAATGGACCAATCTGCACGATGACAACTTTTACTTTTGATAATTTAAGTATATGTTGATGCTAATACTTTCCCACTTTTACTTGAGTAACATTTTGAATGCAGGACTTTACTTGTAACAGAGTATTTACACTCTGGTACTTCTACTTTTACTGAAGTACCAGATCTGAGTACTTCTTCCACCTCTGCTTCTTCCATCACTGGGAACAGTAATATCACACACATCTGGAGGATTGTTGGTGTTTGTTATAGTGAGTCACTTAGATTTCCAAGTATACTGGAGATTGGAACAGTACTTCGGCGGCACTCGATGACGTAGTATGCTTGAAATAGTGGCTCTGAAGCAGCTTTACTCGCGATTGAGAAACACCCACTGTGTCCCTCTCATCCTGAATTTGTCTAAATGAAGTCGGCCTGGACACTTTGGGGTCAAAGGGACAGGTGCATGGGCTGACAAAAACGGTCAGTGAGTAAATATAGTATTTATTTACATTCTCAGCAAGAAGAGCAGCCAAAGACACACAGATGCAAATAAAACTTTATCTGGCAAATCTTAGTCAAATTTGAACACAGTGATGACACTCTTTAATTCAGTTTAGTCTCTGAAGTCCACTGCGAGGGGGGACCCAAGTTCCCATCAGCAAAAACACGTCGGTTTGCTATCCTGGCTCCAAAATGGTGGAATGAGCTCCCCATTGACATCAGGACAGCAGAAAGCTTACACATCTTCCGGCGCAGACTAAAAACTAATCTCTTTCGACTCCACTTTGAGCAATACAATTACTAACAAAGCACTTATATACTAACTAAGCACTTACATAACAAAGCACTTATATACTAACAAAGGACTGGCTTATCTAAAGCCAGTTGAGTAGCACTTAAAATGTTTTGGCTCTATGAAACCTAATGTACTTATATGATAAGCTTGTATCTTCTTGGTTGAATGCACTTATTGTAATTCGCTTTGGATAAAAACGTCAGCTAAATGCAATGTAATGTAATGTTAAACTGCACTGTAACTTTTATTCATTTTAATGTTTATTTTATTATCTTTGCTTTTTAATGACTGTTTTTAAATGCCATTTTCTTAATGTCTTTCATTTTTGTAAAGCACTTTGAATTGCCTTGTGTTGAAAGGTGCTATATAAATAAACTTGCCTTGCCTTGCCTTGCCTAAAGGATAGACTTCAATAGGTACCTTTTAACACTTGTAACTGGGCTAATTTACCCCATGTTAACAAATATCCTTTGGTGGGAAACAATAAGTGTGGATTTTGACTTTATGGCTAACTTACGTGATGCTAAAAATAGGGTGTTGCATTGTGTAATGGAAACTTCTGGAGCATGTAGTCGAAACACAATGAAACACGGGGAGAGCTTGAGCTTGATGGCAAGCACTGAAGATTTATTTGAAGTTACGGACGGAGAATTGACAAAGACATTTGCTGCAGCCAGAAGTTGACACGGCGGTATCCCAACCAATCCTCAAGATCTCTACCCCAGAGCCTTGTATTTAGCTGGTGACAAGAGAATAATCAACATTGTGCACAGATAGATCAGGCAAAGCAATAAGACACCTCTATCAGCTGACGCCAACAGGCAGGAATAAGGAGACAAAACACAAGGTTGCAGGCCTGTGCTCAGCGAGGGCAGTAAAAACTGATTAACTAGGTAAAAGTCAAAGTCAACTTTATTGTCAATCTCAAAATATGTTTGTACAGTACACACAGAAAATCGAAATACTGTTTCCCACAGTCCCGAGGTATAACAAAAAAACACACATTAAAATGCATACCATTGCTACGCTGACGACACGCAGGAGAGACTGAAAAGAGTCAAGGCAAGCTTATAAAAGTTAACAGCATTTAATTACACAAAAGATTCGGTGGTTTACAAATGAAATTGCAAGCGGAGACACTCTCCCCATGTCTTGGTCAGCCCAGGTCAGGAGGTGAGAACTCCTGATTCTTGGCTTCGTCTTCCTGTTGTCATCTGAGGTCTTCTCCTATTGGCCAGCGTCGTCGGGGGCGGGTCCAATGCAATTCCTGCCTTTTTTGTTGCTAAATTACATCCTTCTGGTGTCTGTGGTTATTTAAACACTCCCTGATAAACGTTATTCAGCGTCAATAAATGAGTGCTAATCCCAGTGTGTTTAGTGTACAACATCACATGTCATTTCACCTTCAATTCACGGTTTCAAAACGTTAGCCACATGCTAATGCTAACCGGAAATGAAGGATTTTCAGAATAAAACTGCTTTTAAGCTGACGGAATGTTTACACTAAATTATGCCATAAAACATTGATTTTAATTTCTAACAATCCCTCCTTTCACACCTTTTAAGGTGTGAACACAATACTGAAATCAATGAGTTCTTCATAAGACTGCTTTTAAACTGACGGTATGTTTTAGACTAAATTATGCCATAAAACATTGATTTTAATTTCTAACAATCCCTCCTTTCACACCTTTTAAGGTGTGAACACAATACTGAAATCAATGAGTTCTTCATCTGAACTTTGCATAGTACATAACTCATATCAAAAACATACTATCAAAATGGAATGGTTCAAATAACCGTCATCAAAAATACAAAAAATGCTTCGGTTGGTCTTCAACATAAGTTTTCCCTTGTGCTTAAACTTCTAGTTTTAACATTCAATATCACTTTTCAAAATAGCAGCAATTAGCTTGGTATTTGAACATTTCTTTCTCCCTCCTTTCACAGAAACAGTTCTCATACCACATTCAGTGTTAAGGCACTTGTTCTTTTACAAAATATAAGGATTAAACTATCTGAAAATAGCTAAATATTACTTTTTTTTTTTTTTTAAACAATCTTATCCTCTTCAGTTTTTTTGCATACACCCCCTTTTTCAACTAAATTTTAGCGCCATTCTATCGGTCTGTTTTTATCTAACTGTGTCATCTTGTTACTGTGTCTCTGGTGTAATTTATGAATCTCTGCTGGTTACAGCAGATATAGTTCTCCCCATCCACATTCTTGTTGGTTATGGGACAGAGGAATAATAATTCAGAACCTGCTGATATCTGAATCTTACTACTTGGCATATGTTACAAACAAAATAAAACATCTTCATGGTGAACTAAATAACATATTTCAATAGCTCGGAAATGTCTGATGAGCATCTGTGTTATTCCTAAATAAAATCCTTGTAATCTTTCTCAAATCTAAATATAACAATGAACTATAAGACACACACTAACATTATGTAATACAATTTCATTATGGATTCAAAAACAACTGAAGTCATGATGCTGTCAGAGTGTGGTTTCCTGAGTGTATCTGTCCTGTAAGGTACGTCATTCTCTGCTTGGATCGTGTGCAGAAATCCCATCAATTTCACCTGGCAATACTGCTTCTACCTGTCTATCATCAAGCTGAAAAATGAATGCAGAATTCCAACATACTGTCATCAAATGTCTTTCTATTATGAATTTAAATTAAATGTATATCCCCATAATAGCCTAAACAATAAAGTCCATGGCTTTTACATCTATTTACCAGGCTAGTTACAAGATGTTGTCTAAATTAAATTCTGTGTCATTACATTACTATGTTTTAGCTTAACTTAACTGTAATATGTTCTTTCTATATTTCAAACCTCAGTTACTCTAATGTCTGTTAAAATATTACAAAATAGTTTCATTATCACAGGTCAACTTCTTCTGTATTCTATTCTGGAATTACATCTCTCACAGTAGCCCCTTGGCCACTGCATCTGTGTTACCTGTTCAAAATGCAATCAATATTTAGAAACATGTCAACATTCATCAAACAGTATCTTATCCCCAGATATGGAGCAGGTTAATTCTAAAACTATCATTCAATGCTCAGTTTGAACATCTGGGTTGGGGCGGAAGGTTTCTTTCAATCCCTAAAAGAAAAATTTAAATTGTGAATCTTACAGCCATGTTGACGTTATACATTTTAATTTCTAACACACGCATCTCTGCTTGTCTAGCTGACATCTCTCAGTGGATGTCTGCTCGCCACCTCAAGCTCAACCTTGACAAGACTGAACTGCTTTTTCTTCAGGGAAAAGATTGTCCCACTCTTGACCTAACAATCAACATCGGCACCTCGGTTGTTTCCCCGACTCAGACTGCAAGGAATCTGGGTGTGACCCTAGATAACAAACTGTCCTTCACTGCAAACATCGCTGCTACAACCCGCTGCTGCAGATACACTCTTTAGTTTAAAACATCAGGAGGATACGTCCCCTCCTCACCCAGAAAGCGACGCAGCTTCTGGTCCAGGCTCTTGTCATCTCACGCCTAGACTACTGCAACTCCCTCCTGGCTGGTCTACCTGCATGTGCCATCCGCTCTGCATCAGCCAAACGGCTCGCTGCACCAGCACTGCGAGGGGGACCCAAGTTCCCATCAGCAAAAACACGTGGGTTTGCTATCCTGGCTCCAAAATGGTGGAATGAGCTCCCCATTGACATCAGGACAGCAGAAAGCTTACACATCTTCCGGCGCAGACTGAAAACTCATCTCTTTCGACTCCACTTCGAACAATAAAATGAAAAAAATGAAAAACGAAAAAAACTTAGATACTAACAAAGCACTTACATACTAACAAAGGACTTATATAGGCTACTAATAAAGGACTGGCTTATCTAAAGCCAGTTGAGTAGCACACAAATGTTTTGGCTCTATGAAACCTAATGTTCTTATATGATTCTGTTTTCTTCTAGTTTGTATCTTCTTGGTCGAATGCACTTATTGTAAGTCGCTTTGGATAAAAGCGTCAGCTAAATGTAATGTAATGCAAGAACACTCAATATTTACAAAAAAACACAAAATAACCGTTTACTTCAAGTAAGCAAGATATATATAAAAAAAGATGATGTACATAGTGCAAATGGGAGTGCAAACATTTCCATAGCAGCGTAAAAGTGACTGGTGTTGGATTTGTTGTGTCTGTGTGTGTGGGGGGGTTTTAAAGTCCCGGTCCAGTGGGGGCAGGGTGGAGAGGTGAGATAGAGGGGAGAGAAGGGAGAGAGGGGGGAGAGGGGAGAGGTGGAAGGGGGGGGGGGGGAGAAAAGGGAGAGAAGGGAGAGAGGTTATGGGCCTAGGAAATTATTTCCCCAAAACATTGTACTGCATTATGTTGTGGTGAATAATAAATATTACAAGCACCTACCAATAAAAAAGATTTCCATCCATTTGAGTAAAACATTACCAGGGCTCGTCGGTAAGCCCTATATCTGTCTAGTACAAAAAATGTAGATAGATGTTGTAAGGTGTGTATGTATCTTTACTTTGCCCTTGAACATTATTATAATAAAGTTTGCACACGTTCCAGAGATTGCACGTTTTACATAACAGGAAAAAACATTTGTATATGAATATACTAGTCGTTTTCTATGAGTTTTGGACGGCCGAAGACATTACATTACCCACAATCCTCTGTAGCAACCATAGACTGTATAAAACAATTAAATAATACATTATTCCGAGTGTGCTTGCTTTTCTCTTTGAAAGTCATCACATAACGGCATTGTAATACATGTTTCGGCTGCATTAAATATGACATATCTGCCGTAGTTAACTCTATTTATAGAGCCCTGATGACAAGACTTCTAGACAAACAGGAACTGCCGCCAAAACTGAAAACTTGACGTGGATCTTAAATATATAAGCAATTAAACAACATCTTACATTTCTTTTCACACAATACGTCTCCTTGCAGTATCAACACTAATTCGGCTGACTTTTATATTTGATCCAATTGGTAGATAGGCTGTATTTACACCATAACAGTGCACAGCTGATAGAAAGGGACACCTACTGGTTAAAGCACGTTATTGCATTTTATAATTGTATTATTTATTAGGATAATCTGGTGTTTTTGAGTTGATGTGTAGTGGAGATATCACTGTCAAATCAATCGACAGTAAGGGGAATACTTACTTCCGGGTGTACAATTCTCCGTTATCCAATGGGAATGGACGCTCACATTGCCTTTAACAGCCTCCGACACAAACGAATGCCGTGCTTCCCTAAGCGTCAAATACCGCCGCCGATGGGAATACATTGCAATCAGTTGAAAGCTCTTTGCGTCCGTTTATGAAGCTGAAGGAGCCTCGGCGCGTCACAACTGGACGCCACGGGACCCTGACCAAGCGTCGCTCCTGGACGCTTAGGGAGTGAGAGTGTGTTGGTAAACGAGACACTGGATGTAAACTCAACCTACATATTCATGTATGTTCAAACTACATAACCATATAGCCCTGTGATCACAGAGGAGAGAGGGATTCAGAGCTGAAAAAATAACATAGATGTGGGGGAAACTTCTGTGTAGCAATGCAGGAGGAGTCACCGACTCAGGAAGGAGACACGGGGAGAGCTGGAGCTTTGATGTCAAACACTGATGGTTTATTTAGGAGCTTCGGCCGGAGAATTCACAAAACAAATCAGGAGTCAGACGTTCTGACTTCACGGTAGAGTTGCCACGTCAATTCTGAAGAACTCTCCCCCAGACACATGTATTTAGCTAGTTCAGAGAGAATAATCAACATTGTGCATAACAAGATAGAATCATAACACCTCTATCAGCTGACGCCAACAGGCAGGAACAGGGAGACAAAACACTGAGAGCACAGCAGCCAAGGTTACAGGTGCGTGTGCTCAGTCAGGACAGTATGAACTGATAAACTGGGTCAAAGTTATGGGCCTTGGAAAATATTTCCCCAAAACATTGTACTGCATTATGTTGTGGTGAATAATAAATATTACAAGCGCCTACCAATAAAAAATATTCTTTTTACCAGGGCTCGTCGGTAATCAAGCCCTATATCTGTCTAGTACAACAAATGTAAATAGATGTTGTTAGGTGTGTATGTATCTTTACTTTGCCCTTGAACATTATTATTATAAAGTTTGCATTGTACACGTTCCAGAGATTGCACGTTTTACATAAGAGGAAGAAACATTTGTATATGGATATGAGACACTGGATGTAAACTCAACCCATGTATTCATGTATGTTCAAACTACATAACCATATAGCCCTGTGATCACAGAGGAGAGAGGGATTCAGAGCTGAAAAAATAACATAGATATTATTTTTAAGAAGAAAAGACACAGACAATGCAATCAACAATTGACCAGTGAAGACTTAGCATACGTCAGGTAAATCAGTTGTTCATCTTTTTATTATTAAATCTCAATATGTTAAAAATAAAACTCTTCATGCTATCATTTTTGGGCATTTGGTCAACTATTTCATGAGCTAATCCCACTTTTAAATCTTGAACTTTGTCTGTTAAATTCAGTCTTTCAACAATTGTATAGCAGTATAACTAAATCTTGCTTTCTCCGCCTCATCAGAGTTATGGATTGGATTCTAAATCTCATTATACTTTCAAGTAAGTGTAACTCCTTTTACTTTCTCTAAGTGAACAGTCTCTGAATAAACATTAGTTTTCGTTTGACAAACCAATGTGACTTACAAGGATATAAAATGATCATTTGTCACAATACTGTAGTTTCTCTCAGCTGCAGCATGTTTTTGATTTTCTATTACACAGTTTCTCTCCTCCAGATATCAAACCAACCAATTAACCAATCATTAACTCAATCAATTACTACATTAATCAGTTAACAAACCAATCACTAACTTAATCATGCACTAACTAGATCAATCAATCAATCAATCAATTCAAATCATAATTTAAATGGCTCTTAAAATATAAAAGTGTAATTGAATATAATTTGAGTATGTTTATTGTATTTTCATTTGAAATGTATCTCCATGGCTTCTCTCCCACAGCGCTGTGCTCTCTGTCTTCATGAAAACCTGGCGAGAGGCTCAGAGTTTCTGCAGAGAGAATTGTCTCGACCTTGCCACCATAGAGGACCTGGGAGATATAGAAACAGTGCTGAGATCTGTTGAGGGCCAGTACGATGATGCCGTGTGGATAGGACTCATGAAAGGGGAGCGGAGGTGGCACTGGTCCATAACTGAAAAAGATTTCTACAAGAAGGGAGAAAGAGAGTATTTAATTTGGTACATGCAAGAAGATAATCGTTTCAACTGTGGAGCCTTCAACAACGGGACACTGTTTGTCAGAGAGTGCACCACCACACAACGTTCAATTTGCTTTGATGGTGAGTGACACTTTGATTCTGGAGTCACACACACACACACACACACACACACACACACACACACTTTAAAATGTGTGCCTCTACTGTGACATGTCTCCATGCTTTAAAAAGCTCTTTATTTTTCTCATACTGCCTGTGCTGCAGCACCTCTTTTCACCCTCTGTCTGAAACCAGAGCCCAGTCTGCTCTGATTGGTTAGCTGGCCGGTTCTGTTGTGATTGGTCAACCGCTTAGAGATGTCCCGCCCCCTAGCCTATCACGTACAATGTGTTGGAGCGCTAGCCAATAGGAAAATGAGTGATACATAGTGATGTCACTATGTTACAGACGTAAACAAAGGAGTCCAATGGAGGCGTTACAGGCAGGGGTTTTAGCCTTTGCAGACCATTTACATGCACACAAACCAATATAACGCAGTAGAAGGGAAACCCCAAAAAGCCTGTATACACAAGGCGTCTTTAAGGATCAAAACAATCAGCACCAGTCTTTCTAATACACAGAGAGACACACAAAAACGATAAACTTGTGGTTTTCTTCATAGGAGGAAAACAAGGTAGAGATCAGTACGTGCACGTTGCAAATGCTAGGACCTGGATTGCTGCTCGAGACCACTGCAGACAATTCTACACAGACCTGGCCAGTGTGAGGAATGATGCAGAGTATCAGATCATCAGGGAAGTAGCCGGGGACCAGCAAGTGTGGGTTGGCCTCTTCAGGGACATCTGGGTGTGGTCGGACCAGACATTATCCTCATTCAGATACTGGAAAACAGGCAAAGCTGTTTATACTCCATCTGACGGAAACTGTGGAGCTTTGATGAAGAGTGTTTCTGGACGATGGGGAGAACGGCTACGCGCAGAAAAACACCCGTTCCTCTGTAAATGTGGTGAGTTCTTCAATTTGATTCTTTCATATTCCCTGTTTAGTTAATTTTTTGAGCTCATAATCTAAATTATTTTATTATTTGTGAGAACAGGTGAACATACAGTATATGTCCATACAATAGTGTGTGTGTGAGCTTAAAGGTAGGGTAGGTAAGAATGGAGAAACTAGCTCGAGTAAGCTAGAATTTGAAAGTACACAACCGAAAAAAATCTGCCCCTTCCTTCAGACTTCCTTACAGAGCCCCTCCTCCAACACACACGAACGCGCACATGACCAATGAGGGCACGAGATAAGTTTGTGCACGAGATGGAAGGCTGACAGGCAGGTAGGCCATCCAATTATCTGCCGCGGGCCGAGGCAGATGATTGGTCGTGCTTTTTACAGCGCCACGGCTTCCACAGATGAAATATTTGCATATGTTTATTGCCAAAGCATTTAATTTGTTCATTGCTATCAGGATGTTAAGAGCATTCCATGGAATATAACAACAAGTGTTTCTGAAGTGAATTACCTTTAACTGTGTGTATTAAACAGGAATGTTCTGTGAGCTCAGATTTTATTTCTGCTTTTTTCAACTGTAGTATGTGCTCGTGTGTTTCATTGTTGGTGTGTAGGCTACTGCCTGATGATGCTTCATGAAAGGCAGGTTTTCCTATCAATAAAATCTCTGAGAAAAGGACACATTTTAGACCCTAAATATCTTGGTTCTTCACATTGTTCAGTTGTCTTACAGACAAAAACATCTTATTGGTTATTATTTTTCTTTTCTTTTGTATTTATTGCCATTTGATCTTGAGGTAATCCAAAAGTAAGAGAACGTTCTAGATGTTGATACTCTGATTTGATAGCAAATCGCTGAATAAAGCAGAGTTTATAAACTACTCTGTCTTTTCCGGTCATGATGGAATTAATGAAATATTTTGTGTCTCTCATTATATCAGGTCTCACTATGATGCATTTGAAAATGACTATCAGCTCACAGGACGCAGTGCTGGAAGAAAACCTTCCTGCAATGAAGAATGACCTCTTGATTCAAGTGAGTCCAAGGTCCCATTTTAAGTGTTGCAATAAAACATAGATGACATTTTGGATTTAAGCCAAATATGGCCATCTTCCTTGTCAAGATAAAAATCCAATAACAATCTGTCCCGTTTTTTAAACTGATGCAAATCATTATTTTCATAAGCTCCACTCCAGTCAACAGGCTTGTAGTAATGCACCTAAAGCTTTTTTTGATGGCCAAACATGCCAGAGGAAGAATAATTATTGCACTTTAGCCGTTTAAGGAGTAGTTTGTCCCAATACACAGTACTGTATGTCAAATGCAAGTTGCCAAAAATACCATGAAGTCCTACTGAATTTGGTCGCATATTGCAGTATGAAAACGTGCATAGTATTCGACCCACCATCTTCGGTGCTACGGAGAAGACATCACATTGACTGAAACCCTGAGAGAGAAGCAGAGCTCTCCATCTGTGGCGAGCATTAGCTCACATATTTTTACTTTAACGGTCCCCTATTATGCAAAATGCACTTTTCAATGTCTTTTATACATAAATATGTGTCCCCGGCCGGTGTGTAAGGAGACTCACAAAGTGTCCGAAAATACAACCCTCTCTCTTTTCCTCCTTACCCACATCTCTAAAAACGGGGGTACAACGGAGCTGATCCAGATTAGCTGTGGGCATGACGACATTACTAAAATGTGAATCAGAAACGTTGCTGTCAGAAACAATGCGCAACATGTTTTGGATGTAATATGGTCTGTGTTTACACTAGCAAGCAACGCTAACACTCAGAGCTAACCTGTACTGGAGAGAGTATGTGTAAAAAAGCAAGATATAAAAAGGTAGTGTCCTTGTGGTAAACATGCGGCAGAAAAAGCATTTGAGCTCCATACTGTTTCAGAAATAATCCTTGAAGTGGTTTGGAACATAATATGGCGTTTAATCACGGCAGCGTTTAGCTGAGTTTCAGTAGACACTCTTCTCTTCACAGAGCTCACTGCTTGCTAGTGATGTGACAGTGCAGTTGCAGTACATACTGAAAGAAAAAAGTATGCAGCCTTATTTTTGCACGAAAATTGTACGACATACATTGGTGTATAATATTTCATATCTGTTTATGCGACTACCATACTAAGACAATTCAACAATAGACATGTACAATTTAAGTTTAAGTTTTATTTTATTATTATTTTCCTGAATTTCTTGCACATTTTCCTGAAAAAAAAAACATATTGTGAGCTTTGCTTTTAATTTCTTTATTTTCTATTTTCTATTTCAGATCAAGAAGAAGCTGGCGGAGAAGGGTGTGAATGTTACGGAGTTACAGTGGAAATCTTTTGTAAGAACTACAAAGCAAAACTAACAATTGTAATATTAACAATGACTGTGTGCAATCTAAAATGTGTCTGAATTATAATCCTGTGATGACTTTCTTGATATACAGCAACACATCATTATCCTTATGTTGCAGTTATTATTTTTGATATGTGTTTATGCAGTGAATTATTATCTTTCTGGTCTATTCCTGCAACTTCCCTGAATGTGCATTCTCTCTATCCAAGAGGGGGCGTCTCCTCTGGTTGAACACATCAGGTTTTATAGAAGTTAACAAGAAAATAATCTTCCTATCACTTCATTAACTCGGTATCACTTCCAGCAAACATATTCTTTATAAGTTTACGTTTTAAATAAATATTTAAAACAGTAAACAGTTTACTTATTCCATTTAAGACAATAAGCAGGCCCGCCCCTCCCTACACGCAGATCACAAGGGGCCTCACATCGCGGAGGGGGCCTCACCTCACGGAGGGGCCCTCGTCTTGCAGAGGGGGCCTTACCCGAAGCGCAAATGCGGCACACCTTTATCCCATTAAGCATTACAATTCATATGCGGCGCAATTACTGTAAGCGTGCTCCACGAGCACCACCCCGGTGTTTTTTTTATGCTGAAACATTCAGACTGTTGGAAAAACCCAGAACACCTGGAGAAAACCCATTCATGAAGACTACATGGACTTAGGGGAAAAGGGGGGAACAATGAGAACACATTAAATAAAATAAAAAAGTGGGTTAGGGGAGTAGGGGGAGGATTTAGATTGGTCGATGAGGTGCTCCTGCGCCCTCTTGATCATTTTTGTTTGCTTAGTGGCAAATCTGGGCAATGGTTCCCCTGTCACTGTCACGTGGGCCCGCAACGCAACCCGAGAGGAACAGATCTTTACTGCAGGAGTGTTTTTTGTTGTGATTGGTGGGAGGAAGCTACGCTGCAGATTCCCTTTACTGTTCTCCTGCTCGGTGTCCCGGCTTTTAGCAGTGTCCAATCTGGACAGCCGTTCTCCTGTTTCTTTCCCACGGTTCTTTGATGACTCCACCCCAGTTGGGGCAGAGTGTCGTCCTGCAGGAGCTCCCGGTGTTTTAATGGTTGGGAGGCGGGTTGGCCGCAGACCAGCAGTACTACTCTCTTTGACCTGAAATTTGTCTTTTTCCAGGTACTGCTTTATCTTCTCCTCCGAGGAAAGGGTGCGCTGCCATCCAGAATTTGCCTTCGTGAGCAATGGTTCCCCTGTAACTGTCATGTGGGCCCGCAACGCAACCCGAGAGGAACAGATCTTTACTGCAGGAGTGTTTTTTGTTGTGATTGGTGGGAGGAAGCTACGCTGCAGATTCCCTTTACTGTTCTCCTGCTCGGTGTCCCGGCTTTTAGCAGTGTCCAATCTGGGCAACCGTTCTCCTGTTTCTTTCCCACGGTTCTTTGATGACTCCACCCCAGTTGGGGCAGAGTGTCGTCCTGCAGGAGCTCCCGGTGTTTTAATGGTTGGGAGGCGGGTTGGCCGCAGATCAGCAGTACTGCTCTCTTTGACCTGAAATTTGTCTTTTTCCAGGTACTGCTTTATCTTCTCCTCCGAGGAAAGGGTGTGCTGCCATCCAGAATTTGCCTTCGTGAGCAATGGTTCCCCTGTAACTGTCATGTGGGCCCGCAATGCAACCCGAGAGGAACAGATCTTTACTGCAGGAGTGTTTTTTGTTGTGATTGGTGGGAGGAAGCTACGCTGCAGATTCCCTTTACTGTTCTCCTGCTCGGTGTCCCGGCTTTTAGCAGTGTCCAATCTGGGCAACCGTTCTCCTGTTTCTTTCCCACGGTTCTTTGATGACTCCACCCCAGTTGGGGCAGAGTGTCGTCCTGCAGGAGCTCCCGGTGTTTTAATGGTTGGGAGGCGGGTTGGCCGCAGATCAGCAGTACTGCTCTCTTTGACCTGAAATTTGTCTTTTTCCAGGTACTGCTTTATCTTCTCCTCCGAGGAAAGGGTGTGCTGCCATCCAGAATTTGCCTTCGTGGGCAACAGTTCACCTGCATCTTTTGAACCATCACCAGCTCTGGAAAGTGTTGGCAGAAAGTGCGGCCTCACATCCACCGTGGCTAGCTGCAGGCTGCCGCGTTCCCGATACCGTTTCATTAAGCACGCCCTGCTTAGGGGGGCAGTACCACGTTTGGGCAACCGCTCATCAGTTTCTCGACAGAAGTAATTGTAATCTGGCACCTCCTGTCCGGTCCGAGCTGCTGGAAGATCCTTGCCCTCCTGCTGCATGTATTGCTGGATTTGTTTCTCTCCCTCAGCAATCTGTTTCTCCATTTCTCTGGTAGCATGTATTTCCTCTCTTACCTCCTGTTGAAGAAGGGCTTTCTTTTTAGCAGCATCGGATAATAAAACCTCTTTATGCTTAATGTTCTTTTGTCTTTCTAAATACACTTCTAGTTTATTTTGCTCCTCAGACAACCTGTCACACTGTTTCATTTGATTTAACAAGTCCAGGCTGCTCGCTTTCTCCTCTCTCTCCTTCTGTTCATTTTCATGATGTTTTTCCACTCTGTGAGTGGCAATGCTCTTCAGAGCCGCAGCCCTCTTCCCCTTCGCGTCCTTCTGCCGTTTTATCACTTTAGCCTCTGCCTCGGCCACTTCCTTGGACAACTTCACCTTCTCTGTCTGGATTTTCTGAGCAGCCTGCTGTTTTATAGCATCTGCCAGTTTTTCTTTAACTATATCCTTAGGAATCTGCCTCTTCTTGAATTGTTCTGACTTCTCCTGTTTTCTCTGCTGCAGCACTTCCTCTATGTCAGTCTGAACACGTTTAGTTTCCTTATCCTTCATGTTCAGTTTTTCAATTTCCCTTTGTCTTAGCCAGTTTTTTCTATAGATTTCCTCTTTGTGAAGTTTTAGTTTTTTATCCTTTGTCTCCAGTTCTTTTCGTTGCTCATCTCTAAGCTTCTGTTGATGCTGTTCATCGAGGGCCCGGAGTTGGTCTCTTTCTTCCTTCTCCTGCTGTCTCTCCTCTTCTCTCAACAGCTTCTTCTGCTTGGTCTGCTTAATAAACTCGTCTTTCAGAGCCAGATTATCACGGCGTTTCTGACGAGTTTTGTCTTCCTCTTTTCTCTGAGCATCAATACATATCTGACGCATCTCTTGTTCCTTCTCCCTTCTCTGTTGGTCAGCCTTCCTCTCTTTCTCTCTCTTAGACGCAGCCATGGCTGCATTGTCATTTCTTATTTTTTCTTTTAAGAGGTCGCTATTGAACTTTCTGACATCTTCATTCTGGAAGAACCTCTTATCATTGGCTGCGTCAAGCGCTCGCTGCCCGTCCTTTCTCTTGAAATCCACCTCATCAGCCGTCTCAGACCTATAGTCCTCCTCTGCCTGTTTCCGCATCATTATTTGTTCCCGCCGCTTCAATATGCAGCCTTTGTAGATTGGATGGGCCATTTCAGTTTGTTCTGTGTTGTCGTGTTGTGTTGGGAAAATACTGCCTGAACAACCCGTGTTGTGTCTCAAATAACTGCGGAACTCAAGACTCCTATAAGAATTTGGTTCAGACAATTTCAAAGCCATTAATGACATCATCGCATCACGTGACCAGATGAATGCAGATAGTGACCTCTTCACATTCCGGGAGACATCACTTGACTTTGTCCGACTATGAAGTCATTCAAATAATTGCATTCCAAGTTGCCTAGTTACAGTTGCTAGGCAACTAACAGTATTTAATTGACACCTGATTCTAAACTAATGTATTCCAATTAAAAGTATCTTTATTAGAAGTAATAAATAGCATACATATTAGTTTTAAGTACAAGTTCCCTAATAATGTTAATTATAATCTGTAATTATAATACTATGAATTCTCAGGGGGGGGGGGGGGACAGTGCGAGCCGCAGATAGCTGCCTGCCCTCAGAGTATCCAGGCAGGAAGGAAGACAGGAGCTCACGGAGGACGAAGAAGAGAGGAAGAGACAGATGTGAGAATCACAAACCACATCCATCTTGTGTCAGACAACAACCAGATGATGAGGTCAAATGTAAGATAACCACAAGAGGGCTCCATATTCTTTATAAAACCTTTTCTAATTACTTTATTGCATGCATCTGTGCATTTTCTACCCATACCGTGCAGTTGATACAAATAAAACAAACGTATTTACACATCATAAAGATGGGGCCAATTTCAGCCTTACATCTCTTTGACACAAGGGGAATTTGTAAATAGCTTTCATCTAAAAATGATGAATTTCAATTGGTTTGTGAAGTGTTTCTGTGTCTTAGCACATACAGTACTTAAGTGGGTTGAAGTATTTTACCTTAATTCACCCTTCAGACAAAAGTTTGCATTTGTGTAGATCCTGAGTCTGCATTTGCTTTACATTGAGAGGATGAAACATTTACATTGATCAGTGGATGTGACCGACAAAGCCTGCAGGAGAAGTTTCTAGTTTAAATCCAAGGCACAAAAAAACACCGCCATGGGATCACTTTGATTTTTTTTATTTAAAACTGTGATTATATGAGAATTTAGGTTGGACAAATGCAGGGTTTGTTTGGTGAGAGCCCAAAACAATGACAAGAGAAAAAACAATATGCCAATTAATGGAATAACTTGATTGATCATGTATAAAATGTTCTTACTGACAAACGTTTTGCAGATAATAACACATTAAGCACAGGATAATTGTATAACTGTACATTTTACATTCAAACGAATAAAAAAGAGTTTAAAAGAATAAATCCCTGCTCTGTCCGTGTCATATTATGATATATTGCTGAATTATTATAGCTGATGCTTTGAGTTGGATCTATATTGTCACAGTGAACAAACAATGTATTTGTGAAATAGTGGAGTTAAAAATACAGAGTTTATCTGGATTAGAAGTATAAAACAGCATAAATACTGGAGCAAAGTGAATCTAACAAATGATTGACGTTTTCTTTTCAATATTCTGAGCTGCTGTCATGCTATATTAGTGGAAATCTTTTTACTTGGAATCCCATTCCCTTTGTTTACAGCCAATAACAGTCCATCATCTTGGAGATAAATGACTTTCCATTAGTCAAATGTTTGTGTCTATCTTCAACGAGCTCCTTATCAATTGGCTACTTATTTACAGATAACAGATTCAAATTCAAAATGCCCCTTGTAGCCCCACTTGTGAACTCCTTGTGGGTGGCACCAATCTGGGTGGCACCAATCTGTAAGAAGCCTGGTGATTGGATACTGGACACGTCACTCAAAATATAGTCTGCTCTCATTGGTCCTAAGCCAAAATAAGCACCCTAGAAGCCACGCCCCTTTCATGCAGCATAGCACCCGTCGGAAGTTGCTGTGTGAAGTGGAGTAAAAAACGGGATGTTGAGGTAGTTTTTAAACTCTTCGACATTTCTTTGGACATTTTTTATATTCTGTTGCAGACACAGAAGAACGGTAAGTCGTGGGTTTGAAAGGAATTACATATTGCTCACTTTAATGCAAGAAAAAAGGGGAGGTCCGAAGTTAGCTAGCTAGCGAGTTAGCATTTGTAATTATTAGCCATTACGTTTTAACTATCAATAAAAAACAACAACATTACAGTCTCTTACATCGTGACATTTTGTTAAGCTTATTCTATTAAGATGTCTGTTTTGCTAGTTATTGTCACCTCTCATTGGCTGATCTTGATTAGCATTTGCAGCAGCTGTGGGGAGTTCTCTCTAGTGATTGCAAAGTAAAAGCCAGCTGAAACCCCACCAAAGTATCTGTTCTTGTTGATGTCAGTGATAGGCGCTGTCTTGAGTGAAAATGGCCCCGATGCATGCTGTGATTTTGTTAGTGCTGTTTTGTTCTGCCTACTGTTATCGGTCCAGAGGAAGAGCTCGCAATGGCCCGCTTGTGCGAAACCCTGAACAAGAGTGGGAGAGAATCCAGAAAGTAATAAGTGACGAAATGAGTGAGGACCTCAAACCGAAATTCCTGAGGGCGGCAAGTAGTGCATCTACAACACTTGCACCAAGGCAAGTTCCTGTGTATCTGGTTGTATCTTCCTCCGATGACCATAAAAGTGCCTTCAAGCCAGAAAAGGGTGCCATACCCCTACCACCCTCGCTCAGACAAATGTTACTTCAGACTGCCACCACTACTATTGCATCCAGAACAACAGCCAGACCAAAGCTGATTGAAATCGTGTGCCATGTTGACAGAATGTATGTTAGAGTAAGGAAAGAGATCTTTAAGTACACAGATGCATGGAAATCTCTTAAACTAGGCACCTGTTCTGTTAACAAAAGTACCAAAGACCATTACTACTTCCTCTACCTTCTGACGGATAGCTGTGGATTCAAGACAGAGGTTGGTAAAGCAGTTTTATGTGTTTTGAAAACATTAAAGCTTTTATATTGACAAACCTCAACCAACACAAATCTTTGTCTGATCCAGAATAATGCAGATTTCCGGGTGATCAGCAATGTGGCCAACTACCAGCCAAACACAGTAGTTTTAAGAGAAATGCCATTTACCATTCCTGTGCAGTGTAAATATCCAAGGTAAGATATTTAATCATGATTTTTCTATATTGCTGACCTCAATACAGAAAATGGAAAACTTGTAAGACTGTGACAACTGCTATTCCCTACCTTGTCGTAATGTTCTCTTGTCTGTTGCAGATTCTTTCACTCCTATAAAGTTGGCTTCTACCCTGAAGTGAAGGGAGGCACTGTTTTAAAAGAACTCTCACCAAAGAGCAGCTTCACCCTTACTCCTCAAGATGGTATGTTTCGTTTAAACAGGAATGTTCTCCTTTTCTCACTTGGTGTTTCTCCAAGTCTCAATATAAACCTTGAACAGATCTGGGGAGAAACTTTAGATGTATTACAAGATCCTCCTAATGTTGCATGGTTTTTCAAACTGCTTAACATTTTAGAGCAGAATAAAATAATGTGGTGGTACACTTTAACCCAAATGCGCAAGTACATTAGTGTTCTAATTATAATGCACATTGTCTCAAACTAGCAGTGGGGTTTAACAAAAAATTGGTCAAAGCTTGTGAGATCAATTACTTTATTGGCAGCTTTTAGCTTCATTTGAGAACCTACACCTGTAATACCTAAATGGGGGAAAGAAACAACAATAAATTCAAAGCAGGACAAACTTGGTATTGCAACTTCTTTAATAAATTGTTTTATTACCAATTGTTATGCCAAGGTCTGATCTATTAAGACTTTTGCAGGTTCCCTTAAAAAATATGAGTGTATTCAATACATGCACTACAAGTGTTCTCTGGAATGTATCACTGCTAAAAAGCCAAAGCAGCAAGCATTTTCCTACTGTGTTACCAAACGGCAAATGTGTGACAGCCTTGCTTAATTTATATGAATCTAAAACGTTAGTTTGCCGACATCATTCTTTTCCACAGCATCTGGCAATGACATCGCTGTCACCAAATATTTACTGCACATTGGTCAGCAAATGTACTTTGAGGCCAAGCAACCTGAGGAGGCTGCTGCACGCACTGGAGCGATGAGGATGTACATCAACAAGTGCTTCATGACTGCTTCCCAAGACTATACCTCAACACCAACACCTAAATATACAGTCATTGACAACTTTGGGTGAGATTTTGATTTTTTTTTTTTACTAAAATGGGCATCTTGTGTGTTGGTTGGAAGTAAAACATGCCTTTACTCCTTATTTGCAGCTGCATGATTGATAGCAAGGTGTCGCTGCAATCAAAGTTCATCACCGGTACTTCAAAGACGTCCCAGAAATTCGGCATGACTGCCTTGATTTTCAAGGACAAGGTTTCCATTTCATCTGCATCACAGGTACTGTCAAGATCAACTGCTACAGAGCTCTAATTCTTTATATGGAAAGTGTAAATTAACTCTGAAGTCCAAATGTCTTTCAGCAAATCTACATGCACTGTGACATCTCAATGGGGGCTGTGACTCCAACTGCAAAGTCAAAGGCTTGCAACTATGACAAAGCTACCACGAAGTGAGTTGACTGTGGTTAAAGTAAATCCCTCCGCAGGTGGAGGCAGCTTGCTTTATAAGTCTTACAGGATGCCATGTGCTTTTCAGCTAATTTTATTATTTTGCTAGCATTTCAAGACCTGATTACTTATTTTGTATGGCTTAGGTGGAAGGAGCTGTATGGCGATGACTCTTTGTGCACCTGCTGTGAAACCACCTGCTCCTCTGCAAGTCCTAAGAAGAGTAAGTTCAGACATGTTGTGTTATAAAAGGAAATCTTGACAAAACCTGGCCATATTAATTTGTGACTTTACACAAGTGAAGCATCACTTTATGACTGTTACGGGCAATATGAGGGCAAATCCTTAGGGACAATGAGAAAAGCTTAACATGTAAAAACTGACTACTTCAAATTTTGAATTTTGTTTTTCAGCTACCAGGAATATGGTCTCCAGTCACTCTTGGAAGGTGGACCTGAACAAGAGGGACGGAAAGGTGAACGTTCACCCCCGGATGAAGTTCTTGGATGCTGACACTTTCACTTTGGAGCACCCAAGCATGGCAGCGCACAAAGCCTCCTGCAGCACTGGGACATAACTATTAAAACAAATATGTGATGTGAAAATAATCAGACTTTTAAATAAATGGCTTCTCGTGTACTGGATGTTTCAATGGCCTATTCTTGAAGTTGTGACATGAATCCTTCATTGCTTTTTAAGGGTACAGATTTAAACCAGACTTAATTTCACAATTGAGTACATTTATTTATTTAAATGGAACAATTGGTACCCTCAATACACTTGACATAGTCATTTATCAGCATGTGTGCATTTCTAAGTATTTCCTGAAAATGAACCACAGCATTTCTGTAGATGCAGTTGTGTACCACAAGGGGATGGAAGAGATTCACTGTCTTTGCATGAGTAAATTCAGCAGGAAGTTCAATAATCCTCTGCCTTAAAGGGTTCCCAATAAGAACGTGTTGCAGCTGCTTTTTCTTGAGGCTTCTCTCCATGAAGGCTAATAAGTCTTGTAGCCTACAAGTCATAAAGTTGGGTTTCCACTGTGATGGGTCTTTAGTCAAAAGGAGATGCATTAGTGCGGTTTTAAAATGGATATCCTTGAGGGCATTATTTCCTGATATTGCTGTTTGTCTCTTGTGGAGCAAATATGCAATTTCAAGAGTTTGTCTGTGGCATGAATTTACAGGCAGGCGTTTAGAGATGTGTTCCAAGAAGTGGTCCTCATAGTTGGTCAAGGAGAGCGTCCAGAAAGTTTCAAAGCCATTCATGGAGTTTGGATCGATGAAGAAATGAGCATCGGTGTTTATTTTAACCACGGGATTCATTCTGAAGCTAACCTTCTTCCCCGATCTAAATCGAACAACCAGAGCACCTGGAGCACTGATGTAGCGAATGTTCAGCTCAAACTCATACTTGTGAGAAATCTGTTCCCATGCTTGTTTGATTGTGCTCTGAAACCATTTTGTAACCTTCAATTTTGACAGAAAGGGGGAGTCCTTCATGCAGAAAAGGCCATCAGTCTTTTTTGTCTTTACTTTCTCAGTCTCGCAATGCAGCAAACACACCATGTCCTCTGAAGTAGGAGACTGACAGGGGCAGACATTTTGGATTGTCTTATTTTCCACTAGTTTGATTTGACCACATGCTTGCATATCTGGCGGCTGGTCACTTGCCTGATTGAGCAGACACTGGAAACTATAATTATCTGGAGGGGTAAAAGGGACAATGATATTGCACATGTCCACTATCTGAAAGTCTTCAATCACCATACCACCGTTTGTATCACATACGGCTCTCATGGCCTCCAATAGATCATTTGCAAACCCCTCCAAAAACTCCTTCAACTTATCAGATGAGACTTGAATACATTTAGAATGAAATCGCTGCAGAGTGTTGCTGTCTGGTAGCAGCACTTCAGCAGCAGTGCAGGTCACAGTTAAGGCCCTGGTTTCTTCTTGTTTAATTTGGGAATCTTTACCGAGGTATTTCCTAAAGAAGCAGATCATGGAAATTACAGAGAGCGCGTTCCATAAGTACCAGAGGTAATCCCGCTCCCAGTCAGCCATGTCCTTCGCCGAACTTTCATTTTCTGATGTTGAGGTGTGAGGGTGTGATGGAGGGGATTCTTGTTCATTCGAACCAATCACTTCAGGCTTTTCCTGTTGTCCTTGTGGGCTTCCTGGGTCTATAAAGGGGACAGACTGTACAGTCTGGGTGTCTTCTTTACTTTTCTTGTCAAACTGTACATTTCCATTAAGCCCCTGTTCAATTTGTGAAGTTTGCAGAGCCGTTTCAGGTTCCCTTTGGGAGTTTTGTGGTTGACTTTCTGTAACATCCGAGTTGTGATCAGCAAAGTCTTCATCTGATTCTTGTTTGGTGACAGACACATCTTCTAAGACAGATATGTTTTTAGTAACATATTGATCAGGCTGAAAGTCATCATGAGGATCTCCATTGATATGTATCATTTCTTCAGCGGCCATTACATGGTCCAGTTCCTCTTCTTCTCTCAGCAGCCTCTCTTCATGCTTCTGCATGCCCAGTGTGGTGAAGTCGTCCCAATTCTCAACCCCGGGGTCCTCCCTTGGATATGTTAGGAGACCCAGAGCCACCACAAACACTCGCAGCAGAATATCTTGCATCGTCTGTGAATGAGTCAAACACCATTAAAAATGGTCCAAAATAATTTCAGTGATTTGAAAAAAAAATAGAGCTGCAAAGACTAGTAGGCTTATCAATGTTTTTGGCTGTTTCTGTTTGATATCGTATTGAAGAGAGAGTTTGGATAGTTTTAAATTTGGTTGTATGAGATACATATTCATAGTCAATGTAGCCTAAAGTACATGTGAGCCCCCACGCCCCCAGTATAGAGAAACAGACAGGACTTCAAAGTTAGTTAAATTAAAAGTGAATATTTTGTTGGTTTTCCTTCCTTTTTTTGTGACCAACTTTAACAAAATAAAATATTTACATAGCTTATACAACACCTTTTTTTTTTTAAAACATCCATACTTTTCTTTTTTCTTCTTCAGACATTTCATAGACCAATCAATTCATCCATAGAATAATCTGCAGATTATAATAGCCCTAGAAAAACGCTTAAGTGAAAAACGTCCCTGCAATTACATTAAAAAAATACTTAATGTGAATTGTGCCAGCAGGCAAACTTTCATAATGACGCAAAACGAAAGCTACTTCCTGGAAGTCCTGAGAACATCTCTTTACTTATTTCTGTAACTACATTTGACATGGAACAACATTTATAACTGCACTTAACATTAAAGGAAAAGATCAAGAATACGCACCAAAAGAAATGATGAATTATCTCAGCTTTGCAGCGCTCCGGTAACCTATCTGCACGATAGGTACAAAAGAGGAAGCAAGAGACTCAGTGATCTCTTCCTTTTTTAGATGTCGTTGCAGGTTGTGTTTCGTGACTTATTTCCTGCACACCCTCTGCTGTGACATTTCCCTGTGCATTACAGAGAAGAAAAAAGATAGCACTGACTTCCTGTAAGTTTAACCGAATAGTCATAAAAGCCTGAAGTGAATTTTCTCAGAGCAACTGAGTCATATAACGAACCACAAACTTTCACAATAAATTAAATTAGGTTTTAAAGGACCAAGCATTAGGCCATGCACTATTGACACAATTGTGTACTAGCTATGAATAGGAGGTAAGCCCCTGCCTTTTATATTGTGGTGGACTTCTAACTGGTTTGTTCAGCACTGCCTCCCCCAGTGGGTGCAGTTGAGTTCAGAGAACTATGTGGAGAGAAAAAAAAAGATTGAATAATTATCATATTTTCCATGATATAAGCTATTGTCCCTTGATTTTAATTGCCTCTGATTAGATAAGTGGAAACAGATTCAACCTTTTTTCAAACCACATTTTCCAGACAAAGCTTTGTGTATTTGAATGTTTGGAGATGATTTTTGCATGTCGGGATCGTTCGGGCTGCAGCTGAACTACACTGCATCCCAGAGGTTTAGGGAACTTCAGTTAACACTATAAATACTACATTAATATAAGACAGGACAAATGTGAGTTGCAAAAGTATTGACTTGGAAGTGTGTTTATGACAGCTGTCACAGGTTTTCTTTTAAAGAAACTGTGCAGCTGGATGAGAATCTTTTGTTACATCACCTTCAACACCTGTGCGGGGAGGAGCATGATGACAGGTGATGTGGTCGGCTTTGAACATCACCACAGAGAGTTCAAGGAAAACCTTTCAGTCGGTCCGAGCTACTGTTTCTGAGTAAAACTGCAATATATTTCCCAAGGACTATATCAGTATATGATTTATTTTCCTTTCCGTTTTTTCATCTACTCAAAATAAAAACGGTAAGTGTACTTTTGTGAAATTCCTTCTTGATCAATATCATTGGGATGCCTGACTTTGTTCTTGTTTTTTATTTAATTAAATCTATATTTAGTCACGCAGTGTAATATAAATAAATATCACTTTTCTAATAATACTCTGACAAACTGATTCAAGTCTTCATGAAATCTGGTCAGGATGAAAAGTCAGGGCATTATAAGTATACTATGGTACCATTTTGCTAATAGAATAGGTCATCCTTCATAATAATAATAATAATACTATATTTTAATTCTTATAGGTTAAAATTAGTTCAGACAAGAAACCATTTTTAAAACATAGCATAACAAAGTAAAAGTCTGAACATAACTCTGAATCCAGAACAATGTCCAAGCATTTTACTCTAATCTTCGATCTCTGAATATGAACTTTCTAACTCTTAATTCAACACTTAATGGAAAGTCTTTAAATAGAATATTATCTTAAGTGAATTATGTGTTCCATAGTGCCAAGAGAATCAGCATGATGTGGGGCCTCTTTTTTTTTACCACTTTTCCACTGATTGAGTTCCAACTTCCTATTGCATGTTCTTTCAGATTCAACCCCATCTGAACTAAAGATCCACCACATCTCCCACAATGGATAAGTTTCGTATGATGTTCCAGTTCCTCCAAGCCAACCAGGAATCTTTTATGAATGGGATCTGCGGTATCATGGCACTTGCCAGTGCCCAGATGTACCAGGTCTTCGAGTTCAGCTGCCCCTGTATGCCAGAATACAACTACACCTATGGGATCGGACTGCTCATCGTCCCACCCATATGGTTCTTTCTTCTAGGGTTTGTGTTGAACAATAATGTGTCAGTGCTCGCGGAGGAATGGAAAAGACCAATAGGGAAACGGCACAAGGATCCAACGATCCTTCGCTACATGTTTTGCTCAATCACACAGAGATCCTTGATAGCACCTGCAGTGTGGGTCACCGTCAGCCTCATGGATGGGAAAAGCTTCCTCTGTGCTTTCAGCATCAACTTGGACATTGAAATGTTTGGGAATTACAGTGTCATGAACGGGTTGACAGAAACAGATAAGCTCAAACTCCTGGCCAGGATTCCATGCGAAATGTTATTTGAGCACCAGGAAATACGATTGGCAGCCTCGCGATACATCAAGTGTATATCACAGGTACCCAGAGGATTTTATTTTCTCCACTTTTTTGTGAATGATGTTAAACTGAGGGGTCATAACCTGGCATTCTTTGACAGAGACAGGTTAGACACTTATAAAGACCAAACTTCACTTAAATGGCAAGGTTGATTAGCGTAGGAGGCCACCATGTGATGATTAGAAGTATCTGTGCTAAGGCTAAG